GGAGTGATGAAGCGAGAATATTTAACAGATACAATTCTTATCGCTGGACCACAGAAAATCCTGATGCTCTACTGTATCAGAATCGGCCAGCTCGCTATGGGTAGGAATTTTCCAAGGTAGATTTGTCGGACCTTATTTTTTTTTAATGAAAAACTGCTGATGGTTATGTGTTGTTCCATTTTTGGAGGACCTGAAAGGAGGAGCAGGGATTGTAAGTGAACTTTCAAATGAAGAGTTTGGACAATGTTGGGTTGAAAATAGAGGCCCCATTCTGTGGCCTGCGACATCATGTGATCTAACTCCTCTAGATTTTTTTTGTGGGAAGATTAAAAGATCTTATATTTAAAGATAGAATTTTGCAAACAAAAGCAGAGTTAGAGGAAGCCACTGGAGAAGCGTTTGCTTCCATCAATCCTATAGTTGCCATTCAGTATGAAAAGGCAGTGTATAGAAGCATTGAGTGTATTTTGTATTCTAATATTTATTTTGTTCTGTTTATTAAAACAACTATAATTTTGTTTCCTAAATAATGGAAAATATTGAAATTTGATAAAAAATAATATCTAAAATTAAAATTATAAATGGTTCACAGGTTTAGTGTTTTTCACATAAGATATTTTAAATTAGCCTTATCTTATCTTTCTCTTTAGTTCCAGTGTTTACTAAATTGTTTAAAAGATTTCTATGTGACGTCTTGCTGAACATATTATGCACTGCCTACTAATACATAAACAGAAAATTCCCTATATCTCCCACCTTTTTTTCATCACAGATACCAACAAATCTATATGGTTCAAAAGGGTTCGACATGGGCATTTTTTAAGACCATAGGCAACTATATTTTGCAATAAAAAGTCTGAGTACGCCACTGCATTTGAATTAAAAAACGCGCTAATAATGTTTTTATCCGAATCCAAAATTTTCATAAATAAAAAGTTGGCAATTTTCAAACGGGCCAAAAATTGCAAAACGGCCTATGCCTCGAGTGGTAGTGAATATATAGCCTTGCGGTTTTAAACATTAAATATTTGTCAAAAATCAAGCCCTTGACATGTCAGTCGATTTTTCTCTGTCTAGTTCGGAAATAGGTTTTTACTGTTAAAACACTCCCATTACGACCACCCTGTACATCACACATTTAGTTAATTTTTGTTTAAAAACTCTGCATTTCCAATCATTCATAAAAGAGGAAAAACCATACCTCTCCCAAAAGTAAGCATCCCATACTTTTTTAATCAACTCCAATAAGCATTTTGCCAACTCTATCGAAAATCTTCGAGAAAATCATAGAGCAGCAAATTCAGTCACATGTAGAAAATAACTCTTGTTCATCAATCAGGCTTCCGGAAACTTCATCATAGCTGTTACACAGCATTGCCAATAATAGTGGACGACGTTGTGGGTGCAATGAACCAAAATAAAATAACAGTTTTATTTCATCTCGACTTTTGGTACACTTAATCAAAATATTGCTTTCAGTATTCCATTTTCTCAGCTTCTCTGATCCAACTGTACAACTTATCTATTAGCTTTGGTTAGTTTTTTGTTGGTGTGAAGCAGGGGTCGGTCTTGGTGCACATTTTCAATTCTCTGGATGTGTTCCTCACCTATACTGTGACGACACTTAAGGTCATATCTCCTTTTACCCAAACGAGAGCAAACAAGCGTCCGCAGCGCTTAATTTCCAGTTGAGTAAAATATCTGCAATATCCAAAAGGCATTGCCTGCAACTTAACACAAAAAAGTCGAGTGCAATTGTGTTTGGACCAAGGGAGCAGAGGGCGATATTCGAGAACACATATAGGGACCAAATAGTTTCCGAACATAACATCTCACACGATATTCAAACTCTGCCACTTTATTCTTCAAAATTATTAAAAAACCAAATTCCAAAGAATTTGGAGGAAAAACTTTAATTTAGCATAGATATACATACTTTAAACCATCATTTCCAACGTAGATTTACCAAACACTGTTTTGAAATAGGCAAAAGATTCTTCTCTTATCAAATTATAATAATTAATAAAGTTCCTGCTCAAATACTACCCAAAAAATGAGTTTACCTTTAAAAAGAAATATTTGTTTAATTTTTTGACAAAAGGGCAATAAGATATTTCAAATTAAACTTTTGCATAAATTAAGAACTGAAAATGTACTAATACAAATAAATATAGTCTAAAAATAGTCTTTAATTTTAATTGATCTCGCGCATTTTCCAATAGTTCACGCTTTTTACATTTTATCTTATGTTTTCTTTTTTATTTATGTTTTTGAAGTTTATGTTTGTGAGCACCTTTTTTGAATAAATAAATTTTTCAAGGCGAGCAAGTGGAAGAATATATTAATTTGTTTATTTTTTGTTTTATATTCTATTTTATAATTTTTTTAAAGTTATTTTATGCGAACTTCAATAGACAGTTATAAACTACAAATGTATCCTGGTTCATATATTTTAGAACATTTTCTTGTTTTTCTTCAAAACCGGAGAAAGTATTAATTTACTACTCCACACATGTTTCAAGGAAGTCACAAAATGCCGTTACCCAGAAATAGGCCGCAAATACGGACTAAATAAATTGTTTTCAGTGTATTATTTATATAAAATAAGGGATTTTAACTATGCAAAAAATGTTACGTTGCCAATTTACGATCACGTGGGAAGTTGTAAGATACTATAACTAAATATATTGCGAAGTCCGAACGTATGGTTTATCACGGAGATTTAAAGAGAAGTCACTACGTGTGACAGACATACAAAGATAAGATTAGGAATAGCGATGATAGCGCCAGCGATCTATGCCTGAACTAAAATTGATTTTAATCTGTATGTATGTATGGATCTTGTCCTAAAATTTATATTGGACAAACAGGTAGATGCTTCAAGAAACGCATTAACGAACATATAAGAGCGTTTAAAAATAATAGTCTAGATTCTATTTATGCTACACACTTAATCACAGAAAAACACATTTTTGACGACAATTTTGATATATTACACATAGCCACAAAAAATAGAAAATTAAATTTATTGGAAGCCATGGAGGTTAACAAAATGAGACATTCAAATGTATTGCTTAACGATCAATTAGATTTAAATACCTCTCCTTTACTGAACTTAAATTCTCGCAACAACATTAATTAAGGTTTTATGGTCATTTTTCGGTATATATAATAGCATGTAGTTTGTAGATATTACATTTGATAAAGACACGGTGTTGTCGAAACAATTGTCATGTCATAATATATAATTTCCTTAAAATCTGAACTTTTAGTTCTTATTTATTCTGATAAATGGATTTTCATCAAGTAAAAGCCACCTCAGTTCAATTTAAAAAAAAAATATATTTATGGCATTCTACGCCCAACGTCATGGTTTAATATATGCCCGGAAACGTTTGCTTTTCGGGGTACGTGGTGTCAAATTCTAAGAAAAAAACTATTTTTTTTCATAATTTTCAAACCACTCTGTATATTTCATTGATATTTTGTTTACTGCTTTCAACCAGCGTTATATATGAATGGAATATATGTTGCTCTTTCTTAAATTAAACCTTGAACTGTTCTGATAAATTAAATAAAATAAATCATGATAAAAATGTTAGATGTTAACAAACTAAAGTTCTAATTTACTTTTTTAATCATAAAATAAATAAACCTCAATTCTCTAAAACGTACCCAAGTCCGATAGATGTCCGCTTTTGGATCACTTTAAGAACCATTCTGCTTCATGGACGCTTAAAGTGATCCAAAAGCGGACATGGGCACGTTTCAGAGAATTGACTCGTATTAATTTTATAATTAAAAACGTCAAAAAAATAATTTAGAAATATATTTGGTTCACATTCTTATCATGATTTATTTACTTTATCATAACAGTTCAAGGTTTAATTTTGGAAAGAGCAGAATATATTCCATGCAGATATTTTGCTGGTTAAAAGCAGTATACAAAATGTCAATGAAATACAGAAGTGTTTCCGGGCATATATTAAACCATGACGTTCGACGTAGAATGCCATAAACATTTTAAACATCTGCAAATATATTTTTTTTTGAATGATGGAAATCGTTTTATCTTATTTTGTTGTTAAATAAAAGTTGCAGTTACTACTATGCAACCTTACCAACACTCAAAATCGTGTTGCTAAGATACAAAAAAAATAAATAAAAACAAAACAATACTCTTGGAAAAGAGAAAAAAATTATTTTTGGGAATTTTAGAGTTACAATTTTAATATGTATGTCAGTGTCCATATAAACATAGTGCTTGAATTTTGATAAAGAATTTGAAACACGCTCGTTATAATGACGCTTCTTATCTGTAATTTTTTTTTCAAAAATGTTTAAAAACTGGTTTTTCATTAAGTTGAATTTACTTTATCACTTTTACGTAAAAGTCAGATTAACATATTGTTATATTAATTTAATAATCGAGTTTATTTTTAAAAGAAAACAATTTCATTCAACTTTCCCTAAATTTTAATGTTTCCTAAAAATACATAATTATTCAGTACCATTTTGAAGCTATGATGCTTCAAAATGGTACTGAATAATTATGATGAAAATATTTTTATAATTTCTCTACTCAAATTAATTTATTATGAATTTTGCGAATTCGGTATAGCCAGAAATATTGATAATAACTCAAATTACATCGAACCAGCCGTTTATAATAATTAAATGTCTTAACAAACACAATGTGGCCAGATTTAACGGCTTCCTTAAGTGTGAGATACAACATAGGCTTCATAAAGTCGAGAAAACATCTACAGTGTATATATATTTCGATCGGTGCGCCCGCTAGCATCTGATACAATCAATGCATCGCATGATGATTATGCATGATTTGCGATTTTAAACCAAATTAGGAAGTCTACCCAATTTTTATCAAATGATTCAGATGTCGCTAGTTATCACAAACTTGCTAAGTTTATTACCAGATGCTCTAATACACTTTTCATAGGTCTTCCGCTTATTATTTTAAATAAATTATATAGACAGTTTCTTTATTGCTATAGTAAGCTAGTATTCTCATGGCAGTTATTTTTTTTCTCATATTCTTTATTTCTTCATTAAAGCATATTACCCGTGACCACTATTACTTAATTTTTTGATCGGGTTGGGGCAGGTTTTGGCCAGTTTTTAGCAAGACGTAGTCTATTATTTAAAAATCTTCTGGATTCCTCCTGCTTCGGTTGGTAATGAAGCAAACTGGCTGACGTTTAGGCAACCATCCTGCGGGTTTCTACAAAGCCCAGCTGGATCGCCTTCTACTTTGTACCTGCTTGTATATACTGTTTGTTGTTTAAGATTGTTGCATTACCTATAGACTTCTATGAATTTTCGGATTATTTTAATAGAAGAATTGATTACATGCAAGAATTTAAGTTTAATCCAATAAGATTTGATGTCCGGTATCATAATTGTGTTCGGCAACTGCTGATGAGTTTAATAATCTTTAGTAATCTTAAGGCTGTTTTAAGTTCTTTTACCCTAGTTGACATTTTTCGTCCTGTTTCTCCAATGTATTCTTTGCCGCATATGCATGGAATACTGTAAATTCAAATAATAAAAAGAACTCGGAAGAATATAAAAATATACAAACATTTTTATTTGCCATTTTAGATTGGTGTATTACAATGAGGTATGAAAGATGTAGTCATTCATGGCATGTGGCATGACGTAATTCGTTTATTGAAATCTCCTATCACTTTTTGACACAATTCAGGTTCTATGCCCGCTATTTCGCGTCTAATCTCCTGTTTCAGCTCTAGAAGAGTGTTTGGTTTATTTCTATACACTCTGCTTTTTAGATACCCCAAAAAAAAAATTAGGGGAGTAAGATCACGTGATCGCGGCGGCCAATTGATATCGCCATTACGTGAGATAATCCGACCATGAAACTTCTCTGCAGCAATTGGCTCCATCCTGTTGGAACCACAAATCTTCAATGTCCACACCTTCCAACTGCTCCCAGAAAAAATCAGCTATCATGTTTAGATAGCGAACACCATTAACCGTAACAGCGTTCTCCGCATTATCCTCGAAAAAAAAGGGCCAATTATTCCACCGCACCAAACAGTCACTTTTTGAGGATGCATTGCTTTTTGAACAATCTCTCTTCGATTTTCTAATCCCTAAACACAAATACAAAATAAAATGTGCTTCATCGCTAAAGATGATTTTCGTTGAAAAATGAACCCCTTGTTCTCGTATCCATTCTGCAAACACCCGGCGCTGTTGACGATCTCGAGATTTTAACTCCTGAGTTATTTGGACTATATATGGGTGTCAAGTCTTTTGTTAAAATTCGCTGTGTAGTTGAATACGTAAGGCCCACTTGCTGCGATCGATGACGAATCGATGTGTTTGGATCTTCGGCTACACTTTCGCGAACAATGGCAATATTTTGATCTGACCAACCTCCACGAGCACGTTGAGGGACTTTGAAGTTAGTTACAGATCCAGTTCGCTCAAATTTTTGAAGCACATTCCAAATTGTCCCCTCAGAAGGTCGATTTTGCGCCCCGAAAAATTCACTTAGAGCTCGAAATGCATTTTTTCTTGACCCACCATTTTCATAATAGGCTTGCACAATTTTTACAAGTTATTCAGTCGTATATTGCTCCATGACTAACTTTGTTTATGTGTTGAGGTTAGAAATCTCATATGATAATAAACATATACAGTGGCGTTTCAAAAATATTTCGGATAGTAATGTGGAAACTTTTATTGAATCATCCGTTATCTCAAACGGAATTCTCTCTTTGATATATCCAAAATGTTTAACGTTATATTTCTGTAGTATTGAAAGTAAGGAAGGACAGCAGTGGCAAATGTTGGGTTTCAGGAAGATTGTGGTGAAGTGTATTTTGTGATGTAACATTTAAGATCCCTAATGTGGAAATTATTTAAGGGAAGAGCAGATGTAAGGTGTATTCATTCTGGTTTCAGTGTCTAGGGTCGAAGTAGCTTTACGGCACTTTAAACAACACAATCCATAACCAGTGATAGAAGATTATTATAAGTTTCCAATTCAAAAGTAAAACGATAGCTGGGTCTATAGCGTTTAAATGGCTAAGAAAATCTTGCAGGGTTCTCGAAAATGACTCAAAATGCCCAAAGAATCATCAACGTAGCGTTTCCATAATTTTCATTTTAGATGGAAGGTATGGAGTCCAAGTAGGCTAAACTGTATTTATTATTATTATTAGTGTAAGAATAATATTTTTTTACATTTCAGACAAATAATATTTATTAATCTAATGTCTAAAGCACAAAATAAATTACTTTAATGCTAGTGTAATTCCGAAGCACTAATAAAACAACTAACCAACTTCCCTTTGCTTATCCACAATTAAAATACTTAATACCAATCCTTAAATTCGATATCACAGATCGCATATGAAACCCTAGTTTATACTGTATTGATTTGACTGAAATTAATGCAGTTAACAATTAAAGACGTTTCAATTAAACGCTACCTAATAAACGTCATTTACGGGTGGCTACTTAAAGTCTAAAGGGGTTTTTACCGCCCAATTGGTCCAGTAGTGCCCACTTTCAGCACTACAGCAATATAGTTTCTTTCAAACTATAGGTGAAATTATTTAATAATTACAATTACTTTGTTTTCTACAAATTTACAAATTTAATGTGAATTACTAATAAGCAAAACTATACGATTTTCCTTGTACAAATTAAACCGAAAAAATATGAACAATAGCTTCTCAGTCTCAACTCTGTGTACATATTACATATTCTGAACACCGATTTTAATCCACTTGGAATTGATGTAACGTCTCGTCTGCTGCTCCTGCTGGCAAGAGCTCCTGCAGAGAATAATAGCGAGCCGTATCTTCTCTATCTACGGATGTAATGTGTTGGAAACAACAGGGCTGCGATATATGCGACTTCGGAGGCAAGGGTGGGGGTTTTTGCACTTTCCTCTCCTTCTTTTTCTTCTTTTTTCCTGAAAAATTAAATTATCGGTTACTCTCAATAGTATCGATAGATCTAATCCGAGAGCGTGGGTATATTTGAGGTACTATGAAAATTTTTGAAATATTTAAGCTCTTAAATTTTAGATTTAAATAATAAAAACTACAAACTTTGGCAGGTGTTGGGGCATAAAGTCATGCATAATGTCTCAACAATCAAAAATAAATGTTGGCCAACTGCTTCCATGTTTCCTTGTCCAGTGTGATTTGCTTTTGTCCTTCCAGATTTTTCCATTTTTTTTTTCAAAATCTTGTCTATTGTTTCGTTCCAAGCCTTTCTAGATATCCAGTCACTTTGCCACACTTTTTTGATCGGCATTGTAGAGTACTCCTCTATATATTCCTGACATTCGTTTTAAATTTTATCCCTTCCTGTTACTCCCTTGACTCTCCCTACACTTCTTTGTTATTTACCAGTCCTAGATGGTTGGTAAATCTTATTAACTTTGTCCAATCTTGAATTCAGTTCACCTTTTTCTTCAAGTTTATTGGAAACCACTAACTTGGTCAATTAGCTCTCCATTCAATGTAAGTAATGTGCGCTCGGTATTCATCTTTGTTTTGCAGCTTTACTGATTTCATCCATAAAGATGAAGAATAACAGAGAATTCACTCAAGCTTTGTCTGAACTTTTCATTTGTGGTCATCTATAAATGCCAAATATTCAGTTTTTTTTTGTCGGACTATGTGGATAGTCTCTATGGAAGGATGGTTTAGCGGGATGGAGAGAATGTGTTTAACAAATGCACAGAATGGGCAACTGAGTATGAATTAACATACAACATGGAGAAAACGGAAGGAATGGTGCACACATTGTCCTGAATGTATCTTCCTTTTCCGAAGCCACTTTGTACTTCTGAAATTGTATGTTGTATTTTCTGAGTTAGCACTTTTTCAATAATTTTAACTATCTTAGTTAGTGTACTCAGTAAGGTTATATCTCTATAATTGTTGCAGTTTCTGTCAGCTGTCTTCTTGAATATAGGCATTATTAACTGCGTTTCTGAATCAATTCGTATTTTTTCTCCGTTCAACGCTACCTTTGACACTTTCGGACATAATTGTGTTCCGCTTTAGAAGTTTTATTAAGAAAAATATATAGCTCAAATTTTTACTGTCTACTCTTAATAACTTACAATAAATATCTTCAAACAGAAAGGTCGTGCGTACCTGCCAGGCAATGTTAGATGTAGGGTGTTTTAAAACTCAGTATTGATGTTGGGGACACATGTTTCACATTAAAATAAGACTTTTTTTGTGGCTTTGTGAACAACCTACGGAGAGATAAAATGTTAAGTGCGAGTGAACGGTTTTCGTATTAAATAGAAATAATTGCAATCAAAATTTTGTAAGATGTCTTAAATCCCAAAATACAAAAATAATATTTCATAGTTCTTTTGGTTATAATACAGCCAAATAATTCAACAAATAATTTAATTCAAGTTAATTCAATTGCGAATGTATGAAGGTGGTAATTTGACATAACTCATTTTTAGAATCATAATCCAACAATTAAAATAATAGTTGATGTAATAAGAGACATGAATTAACATTAAAATAGTTTTTTTTTAGATTAAAGGGCAGATACAGGCCTCTAAAACGCGGTGCCAATGTGTATAGAAATGTGTTTTCCACTTATATTTGTACTTTTGCACTTTTTTGCTGATATTTTTTCTTCCTTCTTCTTTCTTCTTAGATTTTGTTCACTTCAAAACGTCCTAGTTGATATGTATATATTGTTATAGTTTTGTACCCCCGAAAAAGATATAAATTATACGTCAAAATGTGAACAATTTTGAAAAAGATTACAAAAGGTATTAAAATTGTTATTGGTATTAAAAGGAACGCCCCGCGCACTTAGGTCGCCAGATGGGCCCGTTGTGCCCCCAGACCGCGCTAGAAGGGGTCCAGAATGCCGCCCCTCCTATAGAAGGTCAGCAACTCATTTAGCCCAATACCGTGCACTGAGTTCGGATCGATCAGGACCGTTCCGAAGACTTCAAATCTTGCCCATGTCAAAGCAGGCCATTCGGTGAGCAGATGATACGGAGTCTCCTCCCCTTCCATACTAGAGTTATAATTCACCAATTAAAATAAACAACATCGATTAATTACAAAGACACAGCAAGTCTCCCTAGATGGGATATATTTAATCAAGCAATGGACTTTTTTCTCATTGGCAGTATTTTTTAAAATAAAGAACAGATGGGCATGCTTTATCAGATTACTTAAACAAGAAAACAAAATATTATGCAAAAAAATGGATGTTACAAAGCAGACTTTGCTTAATGTATCAAAAATCAAAATTTAGGATAAGATGTGGACAAAAAAAGAAAATTATTATGCAAATATGAAGAAGTAAAATTATGAAAATTGGTTTAAAAATCAGCTAGTACCAAATCTTACTCCATAAAGTTGATAGTTATGGACAACGCAATCTATCATTACGGCCTTAAGAGGATATTCCAAGAAAATGATGGACAAAGCAGGGCTGCTTGGTTCGTTAAAAGAAACTGACTTCCCAAGAAGGATGAAATATGGAGCATTCCAGAAAAAAATTCTGACGGCACGAATATGTGAAACCTTTAGGCCACATAATATTAAGTCTTTCTTCATACCATGGTCAGTTTAATGATATCGAAATGGTATGGCCGAGTGTAAGAGGCTCACGGCGATTGGGGAAAAAGCGATAAATAAAGTATCCGGAGCATATTATAATCATTATAATTAATCGACCACATAGAAGGGCTAATCCAAGATGCTTGGAAGACAATAAAGATATGTAATGCTTCAGATATTGCACCACTTGTAATTAGTCCCGATGAAAACGACAACAACGATGATAAAGACATCTTAGAATTTAGTTCTCGTTCTGAAGACAGTGAATTAAAATAATTTTTATAAAAAGGGTAACTGGCATCAATTAATTACAAGCAAAGAATAAAGAATTTATATTAGTAAAGCCTTGTGATCTTATTTTCAATAAAATTTTAGTTTTTAAAGCTATAAAATCCGTTTGGACCACTTGTGGTGTTGCTTTTGAGCACCTGCTAAAATTGGTTCGATTTAGGAAAATTTTTAATGGCACTTGCCAGCTATTTTTGACAAGTTACAGCTCTTTCTGTGCGGGAAATTCCAATTTTAGATTAGCTTTGGCCAGCGCTGAATGCATCCCTCTTATCTAAATCACCGTATACGTTTTCTTTAGAGAGCAGTGCTAAAATATAAATAATATAAGGAAAAATGTTATGTGAAACCAGCGTGACATTATCAAGAAAGGTAATATATCAACTATTAGTTTGAAATAAAAGTAATTCTCACAAGCTCTTACAATTTATTTTGATTCTAAAGAATGAAGCAAGCCCAAAATATGAAAAAATATTTAGTATATGGAGAATTTTTTGATAGAAATATCTGATGATTTTTAATCAATACTTAGAAAGAGTAGATAAACAGTCTTCGTAGTGATAGTTTATGCATATCGATAAAACACAACGAGGGATGTTTGCTCAATCAAAGAGAGTGACGTTTACCTGGGGTAGATAAGGATATGTTTTCCGGACATGCGACAAGGCATTCGATATGGGCCCACATTTCTTCCGCTGCTTGGGCGGCGTCGAAACTGAAACCGACTTGCATTGTGTGGTCGCACGAATATCGCATCGTATGGAACGACGGACCGTCAACTTTGTACGACGACAGATTATCGATTGTGTCGCTCCACAGCATAAAGCACGTACCTAGGAAAATATTAAGAGCATTTTGTTAAACATTTCCCATAAGCCCCAGCAAATTCTACTATTTTCAACCAAGTCTCTAAGCTTTTTTCGCTATTATAAAAACATTATTTTAACAAGCATCCGTTTTTATAATATACATAAAGAACGGAAAGTCTATAAGCTGGAGATACAATTTTACAATTACAATTTAGAAACTTATTTGAATGTTGGCCCGAGAGGGCGCTAGTTTCAACGAATTCTTTAGTTTGTTTGGAAACCAAGGCGTGCAAACTTAATTCCCCTGGATATTTCAATTTTTTTCAAGGATTTGGAATAATCTTAGAAATTAACATTAACATTCAAATACATTTGTGTATTGTATTGTAAAATGTATTGACGTATTTTCACAAATGCTGATACAAGCCTACTTAGAAAAAAATAGCAACATCATATATCAGTATATTGTGAAATGTATTGAGGTAGATAGCGGAATGGTTTTGGTTTGTGCCCATTATAATAATAATAATTTATTTCCGAAATAAAATTACACTTACATTTAGTAGCATTTAACGTGTTGTATTAAAAAGGTTAACAATTTATAGTTTTATTTCATTGACCAACTCGTTTTGTATTTTAGAAGCATCCTAGCGAAGACGAGTCCCCTACTAAGGAACATGCTCTTGAAAGTCTATATATAACCTATTAAATATTTTATTGTTTTGAAAAATGTTGTTAATTGTTTAGCTTATTAATACAGAATTATTTATTATTCATTTACTAGTATTTTTTAAAACGACATTTTACAATACCCAAAATTCAATTTGAAAAGTTTAAATTTATACCTCAAATAAATACACTCCAGAAGATAGTAGAAATTAATCTAATGTACCTTGTTATAACTAGTATTCATATGTTTTAACATCAAATTGTTATTATTACGAATTTGAAAATTACATAATAGTGCAACTTTTACTAACCAATTCATTAATTTAAATTAAATAATGAAATCCTCAGTCCAAATAAAAGAAATCGGAAGTAAACTAAATGAGTTTCATCCAAAGAACATGAGTTATTTACATCAAATTATACAGTATTAATCAAAGTATTTGATCTATTACATCAACTATTTAGTTAGTTAATATTAATACACTTTTGTATTGAATCGAACAAATTATATATTCTTGAGAAACAAACAATTCTTTAAAAGCAATAAACGTGTATTTTACTTGAAAAATAGTTCTGAGATTTCAAAAAACAATTTTTGAATTCAACAAATATTTATTGTCTAGGCAAAAGGGAATAAATTTTTATTTGATACATACAATTTCAGAATAAATATTTCAAATACATTTTTACAAAATTTCAAATAATTATATGTTAGGCTATTATCAAATTGATTTTTTTTAAATAACTAAAAATTTTTTTGATCCAATGATTTTTTTTTTTCAATGAGACAATTGCATTTTCAAATTTAGATAGTAAACAGTAAAAACTAAATACGCGTTTTAAAAGTTACAAAAAATCCACTGATGTTTTTCACTAGGTCAATTTTCAACAAATGCATTCATGTATTATATTTTATTTATTTAGTTACTTTTTGAAAATAATATTTTTAGTATATGCATATACTTGCTAGCAGAAAAATCATTTAAGATTGGATCTTTACCCCAATGAAGTAACCTGAAAAATCCGTAGCATATTGTCCAATTTTAACGTTCAAAAAAATATTTACCCGTCTATTTTTAGCAAATTGAATCATAGCTTAGTTATGGACCAGGTGGTTGTGGGGAATAAATATTAATTTTATTTTTATCGCCTCCACCCAGAATGTCTTCCTCATCTGCGATAATTTTTTGTTTATTTAAAATAATTTTAAAATTATTTTTTGTAAACTTTTGTATTATTTATTGTAGTAGATAAACATATATTAGCCCAAAAAAATAGTAAAACGTCAACTTGATTTGAGTAATAGCTCGAAGAACTTCGTAATAGAGGATGGACTTTACACTCATGAGTTAGTTAATAATAGTATATATAGCCTCTTGGAGTCTACATTACACTTAATAACCAGTACCTCGTTCCGCCAGAGCAATCTGAATCCGCCTCTTATCTCTTGCACGCGCCTCCCCAGTATCTAAAATCACCACCGGTATCCCCATATATTTCAGCTGCCATTCTGCATCCACTGGGTATTTCGTATACAAATTGGCAAGGGAATTGCTTACAAACACCTAATGTAAGAAAACATGGTCATCTAAACATTACGAAATACGCCTAAATATATTGTGTTAGTGTAGAAGGGGGCAAAATTGAACACTTTTAAATCGAAACTCCTGATGATGATGTTTATTACTCAAGTTTGATGCAACTCTCTAATTTTTTTTGCCACGCGATGTTTAAAATTTATCGTTTTAATAATCATAAACAAAACATTTTTTTTGCATTGTATCGAACAAAATCTGGTATTTTTTAATAGTGTTTTTTAGTCTGCTTCATATTTTTCTACCGGTTTCTCTGATGTATCCTTTGCCATAGCTGCACGGTGGAACAAGTAGAGAGTATTGATATTTTTTTTTTAGTTTAACAGTGGCAAACGGAAGGTTTTTGCGTTGTGCTACTGGTGCTGTTTGAGAGAATTAGTGAGAAGGTAAGATGTTTTGAATCATAGTTAAGAGATTAGATTTTTGTTGATTATAGGCGGAATCAACTATGTATAAGTCTGGTTTTTGGATATTAGGTAAATACGAAAGTAGTGAAGAGATGTTCTTGGTATTTGTATGTTCTGGGTGGACATTTTTTGATTGATTGAATTGAATTATTGAAATGAACTCAAAGAATTCAAAATTACCTTTGCAAAAATATAGCACACCAATGAACAAGTAGACTTCGGATGGCTGCGATTTTGGCTCTATGGCAATTAGAAATAGCAACTTTTTCAGTTATGGTGTGTTGTGCATTTGGTCTTTTTAATTTGCTCTTTTGTGCTCAAATTCTACGATTATATTAAACAGCTCATGAAATCACTAGTTGTTGTAACTCTCTGTCCCTATTTCTAGTCTTCAAACTGACCGCAGTCAATGAGCTAGTATAGCAATTTTCAGGAAATGTCCTTGCAGGCTTTTCTTCAACAAGATATTTTCATTTATTTCAAATACTAAGTTACGCATTAACAGAAAAAAATCTTTATTTAATAACTACTATTGCATTTGCTTTCTATGTTATGGTCAAAGTCTACTTGTCGAATGTATGATAACTCTATATCTAGAATTGGACTCGAGAAAAATATCTAGTTTGCTATCAGGAACTATATTTTTAAAGTCCTTTTCAACAATTCGGAAATATATGGCGTATCCGTCATAAAGAGTGGATATAAATATTTTCCTTATACCATTTCATCTTACGTGGGATGGAGCTTTGCAAATGAAAAAGCTATACTTTTTACAAAACTTCTGGATTCCTCCTGCATGGATGGATGGAAAACCGACGCAGGAGGGATCCAGAAGTTTTGTAAAAAGCATTAGAGTAGCCTGTGGAAGTTTCTTTGAAAAATTAGTCAAAAAATTTTTTAGATTATAACATTTTTTAAAAAACACCTTATAACTTAAAATGGTAACAAACATCTGTGTGTTGCTTCTACCATTATGTTTTTCATTATACCTGGTGTCCTGGTAAATGCAACGAGACAGGGTGTTAAGTAAATGGAGGGTACTAGAAATTTGAAAAATAAATTATTAAATAAATCGACCAAGAGAAAATGATGGAAATTATTTTCTAGTTTCTAAAATAACCACCAGGGATAATAATTGTTATCTTCAATTTTAAAACTCGGTTTAAAAAAAATCTAAAATTAACCATAGGACCTTAACAGTGAGAAGAGAAAATTGGAAAATTTGAAGAAAATCTCAACATATCCATATTAAAAATATTGGAAAGGCTAAGAAAATACATTGTACGGGAAGATTGAAATCACTCTCAAAAAAGCAGGATACAAGGCATTCAAAATGACACCTAATACAAAATGAACGCCCAGGCATCGAGAAAAAGGGTTCAATTGGGCCATACGAATAACGAAAATGTTGTTTATTTAAAAAAAAAAAATTGTGAACGGACGAGTTATCGTGTTCAACCAATTACGTCAGACCGTAAATGTGTGGTGTGCTATTTTGAACAACTAACCAAACTATTAAATCAAAGGTTTAATAAATGGAGTGGAAAATATGAAACAATAAAATGGCCTTCCAACAGTCCTGACCTGACACCGATCGCCCATTTTTTTGGGGAACTCGGATAAAGATCGCATCATAAACCTTCTCTCTCTCCCCCTCCCCTCTCCCTCACTCACTCACTCTCTATCTCTCTCTGTCCCTAGCTCTCCCTCTGGGTATTTTTTTGCCGATTATACAAGATGTCTACATAAGGCATGGTGGATCTCAAGCAAGTTTTCCTCTAGCTTTGTCATTGCGTCATTCTTCTACAGTGACCTGCCTATCGTAGTCCCTTGAACTTTACTTGTGTATTATTGTCATTTGTATACTTTAAGAAACTCGAAAATAATATCTATCATTTTCTCATTCTCTCAAATTTATAGGACCATCCGTTTCCCTAATACGTTGTTTGCCCTCACTGGGATATCCTATATTATAAAAAGTAGTTTTTGTCTGTCTCCTATAGAAAGGACAGCTTTTGGCCCACCCTATATATTTTCGTGACACGAAATATGTCCATAATCGCGGAAATTTCAAAATACCTTTTTAACATGTTACATTTGCGGCAATCGCGATACCTATTGCAAGTCTAATTGCGTGCAATTAGCCCGCACACATTAAAATTCGGCTCGGAAACGCGCAATAACCGAATGATTCACAACGTCAACGTTTACCGCACACACATATCGTTTTCGATATTGAATGGGCAAATAAAGGTGCAGCTCCGATATATTCCACTGAATAATAACGTCGAGCTCTCAGCTACACAAAATGACATAGCTCACACGCTTCGCGATTAAATATTTCTGCATTTTTCCTCGTTAGCGCGCGTAAACAGTTGATTTCTCCGAGGAAATTCGTCGGGTTTAGAGTTTAATTAACGCGGCCCAACCCACAAGAACGCGCAAAAAAAGTTGCGCTAATTTATTCCCACTTTTTTTTTATAGTAAAATGTCGCCCAATTGCAAATGAATCGGGAAAAGTATATTTTCCTTTATATTAAAGGATCATGGTAATCGCGATTAGTCGTTAATTAGTTGCGGAATACGAAACGAATTGCGCTCTTACCTGAGTCTTGAGACCTTTAAAAAAAGTTTCGACTTTTTGCCTTTCCGCCTCAGTAATGGATCCCGTGAGCGGTTTTCTTTCTTCTTTAGCGCATTCTACGTTAAACGTTCTCTCCTCGTGGCTGTCTTCAGCTTCGCCGTAGCTACTTCCCGACGCCGTTGTGCTCGAATCTCCACTAGTGTCACCTACAAATTTTCCGAAATGCTTAATGATTAAACGTTGCTACTATACAGTGTATTTTTTAATAGATATCTGTTAATCCATACTATTCCAAGCATAAAAAAAAATAAAAAAATCCTTTTTTGCTCTGGAATTATTTATTTTGTTGCACATGTGTCAAAAAAAAAATTAAAACTCGAAACATCCAAAAAATATTGGTGCTTAAACGAACCACTGGGAAAAAACATTAAATAATGTTTACACTTATTACAAACGTAAATTGTCTGGCTGTGGCAGATTCTACATCTCCTTCGGGCTTTATTAGCATGAACAATCATGAGGTCACCTTGACTATCATAACACACTTCATCTATGTGCAAGGTTTCCTTGAGTAATTGTTTTATCAATTTTTAAAAGTCGAAAAGTAATATAAGATTTAAAATCAAATTAATCACTTCGTCATCAAAAAACATAAAAAATATTTCAAGTGGAATTTTTCCAGAAAGTCTATTTTTTAGTTCCTCACATGATCTAAATTCATCAAATATAGGTGTGTGAGTGTACTCAATCTGACCTTTCTTCCATTTGACAGTAGAAGCAAGCCTGCCGTTTGCAGAAAGCATACGTTTTCTTTTGAATTCCAGGTTTTCATCATCTGATGAGTCCCATTCAGGTTCAGTAGTTGATGAATTACAGAGCTGTGGAAGGACAGCTGTATCATTCGGTGTATGTAACTCGAAAGTTCCAACTATATCAATTGGTTCTCCAAACTCTTGTAGGTTCATGTTATCGTTCATATCTTCTTCGTCAGTCAAGGTATCCAGGTCGGGTGGAATATAGACCGCGTTAATATGTTCTGTAAATATTTTTTCACGTTATTTTTTGCATAAATTGACAAGGAATGGAATGTTACAATACATAAGAATACGTAAATCCAAATAATACTTACGACTTTCATTGTTATTGTCCTCATCCATCACGATCTCCTCCATAGTCGCCTCTAATGCCTTTTGAGTAAAATACCTCTCAAATGCAATATTTTACGAACTGTAACGTTCACTGCACAAGGCACAAACGAATACTAAAGAACACACTAATTATTGTTTAGACTTGCCAGAATAAAGTTTTCTTTCACAGATAAAACCAGTGGTGAATTCACGCGCCACTAAATATTTTCAAAAAATAAGGCATAATCAATATAGTATTTCCAGTGTATGTTTTCTGTGACGTAATCTACATGCTATAGACTTAACAAAAATGACAATACAAATCAAAAATACTTTTTTTTACTATTTTGGATTTACTTGAAAATGTGATACAAATTTATGTACCGCTTTTGTTAACTTTTGAAGTCATATATAAGATCTTTCCTTTACACATAAATTAGCGATTTTTACGGTTTTAGGTCCTTTAGTAGTGATAATAATAAAATTTCTAAATGGATGTTCAAAAATATTTCCTGGATGTGACAAAAAAAATCATAGAATAGGTGGTTTAATGCACCACCTATTCTATGACAAAATGGGACAAAATGGGTTAAACTACTGAGTAAGGAACGCACTCGCGTTTCCGCTTTGCTAGATTTGTTAAGGAGACTGGTGTTGTAGATGCCGATATTGCCGATAATTTCGTGGTTTACTTAAAACTAACCTATACAATTGTTCAGAGCGTTGAAGAAACATTGTTTTATAGTCTAGGGAATTGCCGATGCACAAGTAAACATGGAATTCACTAGTTTTAAAATTGAAATTCTCCGAAAGATAGTGTAAAAGTTAGTTCTGCATCGATCTACGGAGGTTCATATTAATTGAACTTGAATTCGAAAGTAGGTTTGATGAGAGATGCACTCAATTGAAAACTATTCCAGGTATGTCAAAAAATTACATACTTTGGAAATTGATATGTCCGATAACAGAAAGGTCTTTAACTCATTAGCTAAGAGGAACGAGGTGTTATCCGGTACGAAACGGCTGAAAGGTAAACTACGATCCATCCATGAACCTTTTACTTCGGCTCGCTACATTCTTTATGAGAAGAACAAAAGAAAATTTGGCGAGCAAAGGGTGTGGACCTCTGCTAGTAGAGTCCTCTATTGGAGTAATCATTGGTGATTCAAGAACTAAAATTTTTTGACCACCATTAAGTTAAGTTTATTTTTTTTAAATCTGTTGACTAGGCCAACAGATTGTCGTACGGGGTTTTAAGATGTAAAAGATGTTCTCTATTGCCGTAGCAATTTACGTGTTACATTCGATTAGATTATGAAGATTACACGAGGTTGGCCATGGTTGGCGTTTATTCTAACCCGTCATGCCAAAACGTATTGACAGGTGGCAAGGTGTAACAACTAAATATGTTCCACCGTATTAAAATTAACAATTAATGTAAATGTTCAATTTATCCCCCAATATATATTGCCTAGTCGTTCCTCAATGTAGGCACGCCTTTTATTTAAGCTGTAAGCTGTAAGTTTAACAATACTTATTTTGGTTCTCATAAAATTTCTAATGGAGGATCATCAACCTCATATAAAAAATTAATACAAATATATGTACGCGTAACCTAACATAGAAACCAATCGATTCATTAGTCCCTAGTTGCTATATATGCACAAAGACTACCACAGTAAAAATGTCAGATTAAGACTGTGTCGCTCGTCGTCTTCATATTAGAGAAATGGCGAGTCTTCAGAAACTACAAAATTCCTGTTTAAGGATTAGTTGTGGCGTTCGAAAGTTGGACTATACATCGAATCTGTATCTTGAATGCAATTGGTTACGCTTATGCAAAAGATATGTAATGCATATTTCCTGCTTAATATTTATCATCGTTATCCTTATTTCTATTAGAAATTGATTAAAGGTTTAAACCTTCACACAAAAAATGCTACGCATGAATGAGGGTATGTTATTCTTAGGCAATAAACTGTACTTTTTCAGTTTTCATTTACCTATAATGCAGTAACAATTTAAAAATTCTCTACCAGACCAGATTAAAAAATGCACAGCTTTATCGACGTTTAAAACGCCCCTTCGTAAATACTAGTTCGATTATAGCTAGAGTCCAAATAGTTTAACATTTTGTTACGTAGTTATGAGCTGCGCATTACCTTAACTGTATCTTGTTCTTATCTATTTTGCTCGAATGTTTTATATTACAAAACTCCAATACGAACTTTTAGCTCTAGCGATAGACAAACTAGGCAAAACTGCGGTGTGAACATCGTGGGCAGGAAAAGCCATTTACCCTCAGATCTGTGAGCATTAAAAGATACATACCTACAGATTCGTATTTTGTTTTTTTTTCCTCAAATCTTTTGTTTTTATACTTATAAGTTTCAAATGGGGTAAATACCATTTCGCCAATTATGATGAATTTTAGAGCTGCATTCTTAATATTTGTTCCTCAGTTTGAACAGATTTGAGTTGAAATAAGATTTATCTCTGATGTTCTTGAAACTTTTAAAAGATGACTATCCTAATGTTAATGTGATTTTAATAAATTGAACCGATCAGCATACCATTAGTTTCAATGACTATGTAGAATCACTTAATTTAAAGCAAGTTATAATAAAGCGAACTAGAGTTTGTTGGAAGTTGTTTTGGTGTTGAATATTGATTGAGGTAGTAGGGATGAGGGATTATCAGATCAATTTCTAACTTATTGCTGCATTTCTGAAAAATGTGAGAAACCACCTGGAAAAATTAATTTTGAAAAATTAAAAAATGTCGATGAAGAAATTCTTAAAGACTCCTTTTGAAAACATTATTCACATAAACTCAGTAAATCATAAGGTAGATATTGTTTTTACTTAATCTTTCTGAAACCCTTGCTCTCATCAAAAAGGAAGTTATATAATTTAGGTATGCACACTAAAAGTAAGTTTAATTCTTTACCCGAAACTTTCAACAATCCTAACGAATACTTAAACCGATAAGGAACTAAAAACTTCTATGAAAGTAATCTAAAACATTGAATTTGCTCTATCTTCTATTTTTATACAGTTTCAGAGAGTGTGATTAAAGAACACCTACCTGCTGAATATCAAATCCTTAGCTACCCGGGCAGATCAATTACACCTAGATATAATATTGCCCTGTATTAACAAAATCCTCCCTTTTATTACAAATGCAAAAATGTATTTTAGACAGTATCTTTTTTGTTTCATGGAAAATTTCTAAAATTTTACGAATCACCAAAAAATATATGATTTGAGACCTATAAGTATACTGCCTATTTTATCAAAGAAAAAGGAAAAGATTTTAAATTTTCAATTAAAAGAATATTTAAGTCCTTTAATTCAATTCCAGTCAGAGTTCACAGCGGGCCTTAGCTGCAGTACTGCTCTTTTGCATATAACTAATAATATGATTCGTGCGATTCAGAGGGGTGGAACGACAATTTTGGTTCTTATTGATTTTAGTAAAGCCTTTGATCGAGTAAATTATGAATTAATTCTTTCAGTTTCACTATATTTAGAGAGTAGCTTTTTGGAGGCGGTGCTTCCAATGATATTTGGCATGCCTCAAGATTCAATACTGATACCGCTTTTATTTTCTATTTATACATGTAACATTCTATATATCACTGCCAGATTCTTCAACATGAGGACGACAAAACTGTATATTTCTTTTAACGCGAAGTTGACTTAACTCAAAATAAATTAAACGAGGACTTAACCATCATATTTGAATATTAACAAAACATAACCCATTTTTTGTGAGAGATCTAACGAACAAAAAAAGGTATCAGCCAACCAAAACCAAAGAGTTCACAGGGGTGTACAGTATGTTGTATGTGGGAGACGAACAGAAGTGGTAGAAAAATTCGAATATCTTGGGACCTAAATTAGTAATAACCATGATCGAGAAACAGAAATTGGATCCCGTATCGAGGAAGTTATAGCCACGTTTAACCCGATGCGCTCACTAATCTGTAATTCCATCCTGAGACTGAGTCTTAGTGAAGTTTATGAATACTCACTTCCCTCATATCGCTGTGGAGCAATAATTCTGAAGGTTAACACTATTAACACTAAAGAAACGTTTGAAAATATGGACTCTTCGTAGACTTCCCAAAAAACGCCCAATTATCTCTTTTATTTTAAAACTCCCGAAATTTATCGTTACAAATTCTATGGACCTGTTGCGAAACTAAATCAGTTAGAAATGCCTTCATTAAATTAATTAATTAATTCTAATTTTCAAAGGATTAATCCAATTGTAATGAATTATTCACGGGATATTAGTAATCATATAATAATTGTGTAAAGTTATTTGGGTCCGATCTAATTAAAATTTAAACAAACTATACGTACCTTTTATTCGACGACCGTGACCAAATATTACACAAATACTATCATGGTGAAGCACAGGAGACTCCTATTAACCTTTTATAACATTCTCTATGGAAAAGCCGCTGTTAAATATTGTCTAAAGTAATTTTATTAATATTTATACAAAACTTTAATTAACAATATCAACATGCTACATCCGAGCAACTACAGCGGTTTTTACTATCGGCATACAATTTTCTTACTATTAATTATTCAGAGTTTCATTTCTAGATCTGCTAACGAACTGATTGCATTTTTTGTTGCATTGAGTCTAAAATAATTACAGGTGGAAAAAGCATTTCTTCACATTATCTTGAATTTCTTTGTATTCTCCTGATTTAATTACTTGTTACTGATAATTCTCTGCTGCAATTGGGCTTCATCCCTTAACAAATAAATTAATTATATAATAACATAATAAAATATTATAAATAATTCAATTAAATTTTCTCCATTCTCTTTTCTCAACCGTGTTTGAAATTTTAACTAAAATATAAATATCGCTTAATTAATGTGAGGATTAATTTCAGTTTGCAAATTAAAGACAATTTTCGTGAGTTTATTAAAAAACAAAAAAAAATGTGTTTAAAAAGATTAATCGATATGGGTAACTGGAACTTAAATAACTGACTTCAAGCTCGTATTAGAAAAACAGAAGTCAAGCAGTTCCTAATCAAAATCAGCAACAAACCTCTTATTTGCTTTTTACAAAACTTCTGGATTCCTCCTGCGTCGGTTTTTGCTTGCGTCCTGTTGGCTTCTTCAGAGCTTGACTGAAACTAGTTTCAGAAAACAGGAGGAATCTAGAAGTTTTGTAAAAAGCATTACAGTAGCCTGTGGAAGTTTCTTTGAAAAATTAACCTCTTATTTAAACAAATTTTTCTTTAAGACTTGGACCATTGCTTTTTATCATTTATTTAATTGACTCTTAGTTATTAACAGTTACGCTGAGAAACAGCAGCAATTTATTGTTATAAAAATAGTGATTCAGGAAAAATACCGATAAACACCAAAAATTAGAACAATGAGTTTCTTTTCAAAATGCAGACCCTTAATATGACTCTAGAATGCTGCATATTTTTTTTTAACAATTAACGGAGTCTTTATGTTTGTGTTGACTTCTCTTAAAGCGTTCAAGAACTTTTTACAAGTTTTTTAACAACCAGAAATCAGTATAATGAGATTTATCAAGTCGTTAGGGAAGCAAAACAAATACTTTTAAAATTAGCCAGGGCACTATATTAGGTCCTTTAAGATAAAAAATTAAATTGAACTAAGGTAGCTTTCACTTCATGAAAATCCATTTAAGAAAATGAATAAGAACTAAAAGTTTCGACAGTACCGTGTCTTTATCAAATGTAATATTTAAAAACTACCTGCTACTATATATGTCGAAAAATGACAATAAAACTAATTGATCATTAAGCAATACATTTGAAAGTCTCATTTTGTTAATCTCCATGGTTTCCAATAAATTTAATTTTCCACTTTTTGTGGCTGTATGTAAAATACCAAAATTGTCGTCAAAAAAGTGTTTTTCTGTGTTCGAGTTTGTAGCATAATTGGAATCTAGACTATTGTTTTTAAACGCTCTTAGATTTTTGAGATTTTGGACATTTATTTTTGTTAATTGTTTTTTAAAAATTTTCCTATTGTGTTCTGAAAGCTATTTATTTTGTGGTTTATTTTTACAAATGTTTTGAAACTTTTTCACTGGGTTCTCCGATGTATGTAATTGTTTTAAATTGTTCGTGTTCTGTATTAGGGTTCGGATAAATAGAATTTACTGTTGTCTGGATTTGTTTTTTATTTATAATTTTATCGATAATGAAAGGATTGTAGTCGTTGTTCAGTGCAACTTGTTTAATGATATTAAGTTCTTTATTGTAATTTTCTGTTGAGAGTGGCGTATTAAGAAGTCTGTGTATAAAAGAGTGACATGCAGTCACTTTGTTTGTATAAGGGTGATATGAGTTATGTATGACTGTGTCCGTGTGTGAAGATTTATGGTAAATGGAAAAATTTAATTCGTTTTACGTTTTCGTAATAGTTAGGTCTAAAAACTTAATACAGTTATCCTGTTCAATCTAGATGGTGAATTTTATACGATTATGTAATGAGTTAATGTAATTTAAAAAAGAATTCAATTGTCTGTCCGTTCCAACAAAGCAAGCAAAGACATCGTCCACATATCTATACCACCATAAAAAACTTTTACTTAAAGGATGTTCTAGTATGATATTTTCCAAATTATCCATAAAAATCTCGGCTAAAAAAGGACTAAGTGGGTTTCCCATAATCAAACCTTCCTATAGATGTAAATCCGTCCATTAAATTCAAAATAATTTTGCACTAAAGATACTATTAAGCAATCTAATAAATCTTGTTTCACCAATGGGTTAAGCTGTTTCTGAGTGAGGATGAAACCTACTAAATCTATCACATCCATAGGTGGGATACTGGGAAATAAGTTTTCTACATGTTGCGTTAGAAGGGATTTTCATATCTTTAATTTTGTTGATTAATTGAAAAGAATTTTTTATTGCAAATTTTAAAATCTTTAAAATATTTTATAATTTTGCTGAGAGTTTAACTGCTGGAGCTGTTACATAAGACACGACTGGCCAAATGGGCATATCATGTTTATGTAATTTAGCTAAAGAATATAATTTCGGCGGTTGTGGATTTATAATCTTTAAACAATGCTTGTCTTTGTCAGTAAATAGTGTGGAATTAGTAATTACTTCCTTGACTTGTCTGTGTTTGATACGTCGCAAAAGTTCAGGTTTAAGAAAATTATTGGTTTTTGAAACATATTCTGGGAGATCGATAGCTATGACTGTCTTCCCTTTATCTGCACATGTAAATATTATGTTATTTTCGGAGGCTTGAGTATGAATTGAGTATTATTGTAGCCATCACGTTAGGAGCCTAACAACACGGACTATTAACTTTAAGCTTCGTATCAAAAGTAACGCTCTGTAGAATATTTTGCACCTAGTTCGTTACAGATAAGAAAACTAATTTTCTTATTATCACTGTAATAGTGATTATGTTAAAATATTTAGTCAGTTCATAAGCATGCTTTTATGATTTTGTCTAGGTTTATTTACCAATTAAGTTTTTGAATTGTAGTAATTTGTATTTTTTGAAATTTGTACTTCTATATTTGAATAAACGTTTTTTATTATTATAATACATCATTTTTGAAAACAACAAATTTAACCGAAAATCCCAAAAAAAGTAAACCAATTATTCTCCAGGCATGCAGAGTTAGTTTACGACCAACCGTCTTGCATCTTGTTTCTCGAGAACACATATATCTGAGCTATGTCGTTTCTCGTATTTATTATTTAATGCAAAATATCCAGGGCATGTGGAACAAATTAATTATTTTATTAAGTGTTGAAAATGTTCACATTACACGTGATATTTTCATTTATTTGCCTTATTTCATATTTAATTCTAAATTTAGTGCTTTTTCCTGATACAGTGTTGATTTTAAATATCCCCAGAGAAAAGAATCCAGTGGAGCAATATTTGTTATTTCGGAAAAAAACTGCGCCACTAGGGATTAAGTAATTTTGAAGAAATTGTAAATCCAGTAACATGTTCATCGAAGAAAAAAAGTCCAAAAATTTTGTTAATGAAAATTCCTACCAAACACTTACTATTTGTGCATGTTATATACGATTTTCTCTAATCCATCGGGAATTATTTGTTCTACAATATCTATAATTTTGTTTATTTACGTGGCTTTATTACTAAACGGAATCTGACGAGAAAAAAATTGATTTGTGGACATTTCTATCACCGTTTCACAAAACTGTGGTATACATTACTTTCATTTTCTTTATCATCGTTTGGTAAGGATGACATTTCTACGATCTCTCCGTAGAGGATCTTTTAGATATCCTGTGTCTATAAATTTTCTCTCAATTTTACTCACTGCGGATTTTGTAATGGGCCTTTCTGGATATTTTGCCCTAAACGAATAAAATAATTTTTGAGTTCTCGTTTTGCCTCCCAGTAAGAGATTAATATAGGACATGCTGTATGAATTGCGAGTTTGGTTTGACACATAGATAATTCGAAAATGGAAATATAAAAAGGAATTTTTTATCGACATCTACATCTTCACCAACCCTGTATATTTTCTGTTTACTGCAAAACAATGCGCAAGAAAAAATTATGTTGGACGTGCGTGAGCATTTTTGTTGAAATCCAATACCTAATTTTAAAACGAAATTTTCCAGGTTAAATGCATATTAAAGAAAATCAAAAGAATCCTTCTATATTTGAAATACACTCAAAACTGTCGACGACTTTTTCAATCGCACAATTTACTTTAAAGATTTAATCACTCTTATCATACAAGAGAGAAAGGGATTGCCTTGTATTTATCCTATAGCAATTCAGTTTTACTTTGGAGTACTAACATTTTAAATCACCACTTTTTATATATTACCAATAAACCATTAAATAGGTGGACAAATACAAAAGTTGTAAAGATTATTAGGATGCGCAATTAAAAATTAGTTTAATGTATCAAAAATTGTGAAGAATAAAACATACATTTTTGAAATCAATCACCCTATTTTTAAATTTTGTTTTGAATCCCTTTTAAAATTCTTCAACTTTTTTGTTAACGTTACTCGAAGATGACGTAACGGAATTTGAATTAGATGCCAGAGGGTGTTCAAAAGAAACAAAAATATTTGGATTAATTTCCTTAAATGACGCACCATTTATATCTTCTTCTTTCTGTGCAAGACTACAACAGTGGTTAGCCAAACGGGTTCTGTAAAGATTAAAAAATGAACAGGAGATGAAGCAACAGTTTGCAATACATACTTTTTTTTATTTTTAGCGCTGTACCTTTTACATATTTTTACGATTATGTTTCAAAATAAAGGCATATCTCTCTCTACATCTCTCAAAGTTGCCGCATTTTTTAACACTGCATTGTGCAATCTTTCATCAGCTAGAACGGCAAAATGCAACGATGCTGCTAACTTTACGGTAAATCTTCCGTTTAATATTGTTTACTGAAACGCAATATTATAAATCTTCCACTCACCGGTCGAAGATAAACGTCTCCTCTGTCGATTATTCCGGTAGAGAAATTCCTGGTACGAATCGTATTTCTGCGAAAACCTGTTTACGGCGTATTCCTCGGGATCGTGGTGCTTGGTGGAGAGTGAAAGGGTTGAAACTCTTTTGTCTATTGGCGATTGGGTCGAGTACAGGTAGTCTTCCGGCATTATGACGTCTGAAAAGGTGGTGTCTTTCATAAAAAATGCAGTAAACTTATACAGATTCATAAAGAACGGGTACTGGGCGCGTCGGTGTTTGGTTTGGGCATTGCCACGTGGATCGTAGGGTCCATCTGCCAGTGTTTGAGAAAGTTTAAATTTTATTCTGAAATTTCTAATTGATTGAGAAAAATTTTATTCTATAATTGTAATGACAAAAACTGTGCAATTTTCGGTCCTTTGACATTACAAGTTACGAAACTTATTTAGACGTTGCTCTTGGCGGGCGCTAGTTTCACCGTATTATTTGGCTAAATCGAATCATACATTTTTTATGTATATATTTTATAGATATTTATTTATAAAGTTCAAGGTATTTTTTCTGATTTTCAAAAAATCAATACTCAAAAGATGAAATGACGCGGGAAGTATAAAAAACAATATTAAGAAAAAACTTGAAATCAAATGTTTCTAAATTGTCCAGCATTTTTATGCGGACAAAAAATTTTTAGAATATACGCATCGAAATGAACAACATTAATGTTATTTTACATAAATCCTATAATTTCTTCCCTATACCACAGGTCCATTTGAATAAATATGAATGAACCAAACATAAAAATATTACAGTGACAAAACATTATTTGCGATTAAAAGAAAAATAAAAAAAATTATAATAGAAACAATTCGTAAATTAACAAACTGTTCTTTACAGTTATAAAACCAATTTAGAACAAAATGATTTTCAAAATTTCTCAAAAGAAAACTGCGACTTTTATTTGGAAACATACTTTTAAGAATGGAAAAACTTCGCTCAACATCTACAGAAGTTTTCGGCAATATTTTAGTTTTGGAATCAAGTGTATTTTTAATTTTGCAACTCTAGTTCTCTTTCGAAATAACTGAAATTGCCTATAAAAACTTCAAGCCTGTGTTATTTTAAATTACTGACATAATTTTTTTTATAACCGTAGCGCTAACAATACCTGAAGCTTTTTGTCAATCTATCTCAAATTGATTTATTTAACCCACTGAATCTGTCAAAAAAATATAGGTAGCCTACAATATCGTGAGTGCTGTAGATACAAAGGAATAATTTGTTTTTATAATTAGTAAACTTTGTCACTGCTGGGTTAGAAAAAGAGTGTTTGCATTCATTTTTGCGACAGAACATGGGTTATTTAGATTTTCGACAACTTTTTTAACTAATTCAAAGTGCTCGGCACAAAATATAGCAGCGGTTAACCAAGTTCCCCTTCGATGTTATAACTAGTCGTCGAAATAGTTTGATCTCTACTTTTTACAAAACTTCTGGATTCCTCATGCGTCGGTTTTTGCTTAGTCGAAATTTCTGACGTTTCGTCAATCTTCTTGTTGGCTTCTTCAGAGCTTGACTGAAACTGAAACAGTTGCAGTTTCAGTCAAGCTCTGAAGAAGCCAACAGGATGATTGGCGAAACGTCAGCAATTTCGACTAAGCAAAAACCGACGCAGGAGGAATCCAGAAGTTTTGTAAAAAGCATTACAGTATCATGCGGAAGTTTCTTTTAAATTCCGGTAAAATTGTGGTCCGTACTAGAAAATAATTTTATACCTACCTGTGTTTTCGTATACTTAGTTTAAGTTTATTAGTAATCATTCTTAATTCGTGTGTAGTACAGCGTGTGTTGAATCGTGTGCGAATTATGCAAAATATGTGCGAGTCTAGTGTATCTCAGGAGATGTTCCCGCCAAAATGTAGAAAAGACTATTATATTGAGACTAAGGAAGTTATAAACAATTTTTATTTGACTTTCATTGAACGTGGTGCCAGCAAGCAAGCACCTTTAGAAGAAACGACCACATTGACGAAAATTATAATATCAATTGTAAGGAAAATTGTGAATAATCCCATTTCAGCGAGGAAAAAAAGAAGTGATGTGTAGATGAAAGTCATCAAGATATAATACGGCATAAAATTTACCCGTTATACGAGGAACAAAGAGTGCCTACATTAGATATCTTAATTAGAAGGCTTGAAAAAGATGAAACCGGTGTTAAATGTGGCAAAACTACCTAATGGAAATGTATTAAACACATGGGTTTTAGATTTAAAAAATTGACAAAGGGCAAGTTTTAATGGAATCCTGTAGAATTCGGAAATGGCGACTGGAATATCTAGAAAAAATTGGCATTTACAGAGAACAACAAAGGCCATTTATTTACTTGGATGAAACCTGGTTCGACACCTATGATACCCCGGAAAAGGGTTGGGTTGACGCAACTGATAAATGTAAAACAAACGCGCCATCAAAAAGAGGTAAAAGAATAACTATTTTGGGCACAAAAGCAACAATCCAAAACTACATTTATTTTCACGAAGATTATACCAAAAAGCAATTAATTGAAGTTCTACAAAGTTTGAACCTACAAACGGAATACGTCTGTGATAATTATGCAAAAAATCTAGGGCATAGATCTTACCACTGTATATTTAATCCCATTGAACATGTTTATGTTTATGTAAATAAATAAATATTGGTTAGTATATCTACTAACAAAACACTAAATAATTAAATTCTAAGCAAAGTACGGACCTTTTCGCAGACATCAGTAATATTAATACAAGTAATAAATAATTATTCATATTAGTAATATTTTACTTTTGCATACCGAAATGTCAGTCATGAATGAAAAAGTTTTCAGATTTAGCTTTCATTTGTTTTGCCAGAATATAATCAAATTTGGAAAATAATTCATGGAAATAATTGTCCAGACACTCAATATTTAAATCTACTACTGCTTGTAGTCAAAAGTAAAGGAAATATGGAAAAATGTTTAAAACGGCCACTAGCTTGTATGAGCAATGCATACTTTTAAATAGAACCTCCTTGTTTTGGACTTATATTTCATGAGCATTTTTTAAATATTGATATATTAAGAAAATTTTCGAAAGTTGTCCTTCCATAATACATCTGGAATGTTAATTACTTTTAATATATCTCTGTTATTGTATTAGCAATTACCGACATTTTGCCTACAAACAGAAATCATTACCAAAAATTATTTGAAATAATGGAATTTGCAAGTATATTTTCTATATGAGACAATTTAATTTTTACGCACTTACCGATTTCAAATTAAAAAATTTCCCAAAAACAAAACCTATAACAGCATTTGTTCTAGGTTCTACTTTTTATTTCTTTTCATTTATACCATAAACTAGTTAAACAAAAATTGTAATGGAAAACAACTAGTCAGATATTTATTATTACTAGTATCAAAATTATTACTGTTAAATATTGGTTTATTTTGACTACAAAACAGTTCAAAATATTTTTGAAATTTTACCTAAATAAAGTTTTGGATCCTAGCGAGGACGGAAAATACATGGTCTGATTTCGTAATGTGCTATGTAATTACGAGCGAGTAAAAAAGGTATTTTCTGAACAGAAATGTCTATATTTTGCTTAAGAAGTAGAATGTTCATTAACAACCACAATCGATAATAATTGTTACATTCCTGAAGATAATAAAGATTGTAAAATTAATATTGCGTCGTAATTGTACAACAAATTCAGAAAACATGGCAGTGAAAAATTAACCTTTTCATTAAAACGTTCTCAGCCAAGGTCGATGAAAACAAATAATAGTCTACCTACGCAAAAGCTCTCGCGTAAGATGGAGGCTTTAATTTGTTTTTCAGGGTCCCATTTCTCCGGCGATTTATAACAATTAATTCTAAGGAGAAAGTGACATAATTGTTCATTTCAAACTGCTCATTAATAACAATAAGGCTTTTTTATGGTCAATTAAAACTTTGAGTAACAATTCAAACTTACAGTGTAACATTCTTAAACAATATTGTTTAAATTTAATCACTAGAAAATTCCTTACTTAAGAACGTTTTTTATCTTGTTTTTGAATCGTTAATCTCCAGCTCTCCAGTAGCTGAATGTTTTCTTGGAAATCTTCGGCATATTTAAAGAAAAATTACCATTTATTAACAACAATAGTTACAACACACGACATGACGTCATCAATTACCGTGTAGGTGTTATTTCCTTAATACGTTTTAACAGCATTACGAAAACATTGATTCAAGTTATCAACGCGAGCGTCATCTTTAAAAATTACATTATATTGCTCGGGCGAAATATCAGTCATATCGTATGGAAATGCTGAAGATTATAAACCTGGAATGCAGCTTGTGTAGCGAAGCTTAAAGTTCATTGGCTTCACGGTCCGGCATCAGCGGTTGGTACGTAGGAGTATTTAGATAGGTACCCTAGTCGTTTAGACATATTATATCGTAAATAAACTAAATTATCCGCGTGCTGTATCGTACTTTTTCGTCTTACTTTCACTCTGGTATCTCTTCGAATTACCAAAATTCTTTTCTCACGAATTTTTGGCATAGTTTTGAGCAGCGCATATTCAAATAAATAGGGTTAGAAAATTTCCCCACAAGCAATTTGACCTACCTAATTATACAGGGTGGCCGAAATACCATACCCTTAACTCGGAAACTACGAATAATAGAAAAAAAAGTTAAATAGAGAAGGTAAAACAAATTTAATAACTTTGCATTTTTAGTTTTTTCATTAATTTTAATCACTATACAAATCTATCAACTTTTGATGCTTTTATTTAGTAATGGAATGTGAAATTTCTACGCCTTGGTAAATTTAATGGCGTAATTTATGTAATTTGAATAAACAACACTAACACAAAATAATATTTATTTTATTTAAAGAAACAATAATTTGTTAGTAGGTAACTGATTAAATTTAAGAACATAATTTCGCATACTTTCTCTCGCATACAGTCCCGAAAAATGAAAACCGTGTGGTGTAATATTAGGGGCCTCGGGGGTTCTGTTTCCTCGTATCTCGAGCATACCAAGTTTTTTGTTTAACCATTGACCATGCCTTGAAATGTGAATGGATGCACCATCTAGCAGAAAATACATATCCTCTCGCACA